GTAAGTAAGTAAGTAAGTAAGTAAGTAAGTAAGTAAGTAAGTTAGTTAGTTAGTTAGTTAGTTAGTTAGTTAGTTAGTTAACTTTCCACAGACCTAACTTTTTTAATTTGTATTAAGTCCTACAACTGAGTAAAGAAGCAAGAACAAATTTGTATAATTGAAACTGTCCAAATGTACAATAAAGTACAAAATTCTAAAGTTGATAACATTTTGAAGCATCAAAAAGCATTTTTATTTTTCTTTAACCCACTAGTTTCATTAATCAGGGACTAGAATCTTTGGTCTGACATGTCCCTAGCAGGCTGTCGGTCGCCAAGTATGGAAGAGGCAAAATAATTCCCCACGGTCCTGTGACACCCACTATTGTTTCAGCAAGTATTTTTACATTGTGACAATCAAATGCTTTGGTGTGGTTTTATAGTCAAAGTTTTTACACCATGTATGGTGGAAACCAGGTGCTAAGCAACATTTCGGTGGTCATGTGTTGCTGCAAGACTGACAGGAATACTTTTCAGAGTAGAGAGGAAGATGCATGCAGAAAAGTATGTAATCTTGAGCAAACACTTTCATCAGGGCGCTCAGATTCTCAGACTTTGACCTACATTTTGTGAACAACAAAACAACCAGTGCACAAAAAGGAGTGGCTTCAACCTCMCTGCTGCCCTTGGGTTTGAAACTGAGGCCTGCTGGGTTTACGACCCCAAAGGCAGCAGGAGCATTACAAAGTATTTAGTACCTGTTTATGACGGTAAAACATGCGAACCTGAACCGAGTGGAAAATCTCTTGGAAGTCCTGAAGATATTTAAGCACTGACACTCCCCTTCCAGCCTGGTAGAGCTTGAATATTTGGTTGAGAAGAATGAGGAAACTCTACTAAGTGAATGCCAAGCATGTCGAAAGATGACAAAGATGTTTTCATCRAATCCCAAGTAATGAGTCAGGACACTACAAAAGAAAAAGAAAAAAAATCTGTTGGACTGATGGGGAAAAAGAATCCTGAGCTTAATGAAATTTTAGATGAATTTGAAACATAAACTAAATGGATGAAAATACATGCAAACCTTTTTGTCTGTCAATTTGAACATCTTTGTGACTTCATCAACAATGCAACATGCAGTAATGACAATTAAAACTTGCATGATTGTTATCTGTATACTAGCATTTATTTATTATGTGGTGCTGGTGTAATCACAGAGACATCAAAACTGAAATGTAGCTTTTATTTTGAGAACTGCCAACAGTAGCGATGTGAAAAAAATTATCTGTGTCATTTTTGTTTTTCTCCCCCTTCTCTGTTATCTGCTCCTTATCTCTATGGTGAAGGATGGAGAGCACGACAAAACACAGATGGTAAATAAATGCACTTTTAATAACAGCAATAATGATAATAATATTAATAATAATAATGGTAATTGCAATCATGAATATAATGAAAACACTGTCACCTTTGATTTGCTCATGTCCCTGCACTMCAATATGACCAGTCTGCCTAGACACAAACCTTCTTCTGCCAACTTCCTGTTAGTGCATGCAGACCTTCCGACTTGGTGATTCAAATCACGTCAGCTGCTTGTGAATAATTACTGTGCTGTTCAGTTTCTGCTTGGAATGTTTCACTTTGTCATCCTCACAGGTGGTAGATCCCAAAATTGCTTTCACGCAAAGTTTCTTATTAACCRAAAATCTCTGGACTTGGCCCACGTTATCCTCTGAGATCTGTCCCTTCATGCTGTTTTTGGGTGTTTCGTGCATTTTCTCATGTTTCAGGCTGACGACTCTGTTCAATCTGGCGATATTCTGCAGGGCTGACGTTCACCTGAGAGCGCAGATCAGTGGCATTGCATTGTCAAAATGATTCTGTTGATTTAAATCAGAGGTTCTTAAACTTCTCATCTTTTGATGCACAAAATAAAAACTGCACAGACTTGTGACCCCTGCTGTACCGATTATACAAACATTACTAATAAGCCATTTAACAGAGCCTTGTCAGCCTTCATACTTGTTTTATTAGATTACTGCTGTTTTTGTCTGTTCTTATTTTATGAGGTTTAAGGGTTTTGTAAGTAATTTTGTATCAAATAATTTTTATCAGTTAGCACCTCTGTGACATCAGTCGTACAGAGCAAAGAGTTTTGCATAAAATGGCCAGTCTTCTTCCAGGCTAGGCTAATGGCTAGCCTAACAATATAACCAGATCTACCGTATTTATTCAAGTATAATACGTAAAATTAAATCCATAAAATCATCCATAAAGTTGGGGGATAGTTCTATACTCGGATAAATATTTTTACTTATGTATTTTAACTGAAAAATCGGCTTCATTCACAAAATGCCGGAAATAAAACCACGTCGTAAAAAGCAGTTGAAACGAGCTTACCTTTGACTTTCCTCCTGCTTCAGAGCGAGATAATAACAGATCCAGGCAGGTGACATGATGTGAAAAAAAAGGGGGGAAAAGTATTCCTGCACCTTAGTAATGATAGCGAACTAATGACATTAGCGTGTGACCGAGCCGCTCCTGGAACAACAACAACAAACACATGTTCGTCTGTAATGGCTGCTGTCTGCCGGTGTTCTGAAAAAGTTTGTTTCCCTGAAAAATGTTTCCCCACCAAAGGGGACGCTCGCGAGTAGGAAGTAATCTGCTTTTGCCCCACAAAATGGCCCAAATCTCATGAAGTCTCTGACTTTTGTGTTGGCGCATCCTGGTGGATTATGTGTAAAATGCCAGAATTCATGTGATGCTGCTACAGCTGATACACTGTAAAAAAGAATTTGCTGACTCAGCTTAACTCAGTCTAGTTTCCTTGTTGCTTTGACTTAGTTAATTTGTATCAACTATGACGAACAAGTTCTAACATAATCAAAAGAAGTTGCTATAACTTTATGTAAGTTGACTCAACTGTCTTCAGCAATTACATTAAACTAAGAATGATCAGTTGAGATAAATAAAAATGTTGTTGCCCCAACCCATTTTATTAAGTTTTTTTACATTATATTAAGTTGATTTAACATAAAATTTTCTATATTTTCAACAGCAATGACAGTCAAATGAACTTTTTTTTATCAAGTTGTAACAAATGATTAGCTAGTTGCACTAACACTTTTTTTAAACCACTGGAAGTTCAGCACTTACCTTTGTACCCTTTCAATGTGTTGATTAGAGTTGAGTTGCTTGAATATCAAAGTAAAAACCAGAAAAATTAGGATGTTCTAAAACTTTTGACATGTAGGCCTATGTTTTAATTTGAAATGTTTCTTACCCCACACATCTTCAAGAGCAGGTAAGGATTCACTTTTATGCACCACGGTAGGCCCAGCAACACAGCTGYCCTCTTTGGTTTGACGGCTGCAAAGATAAGAAATTTATTTTTGTATTTCTGTATAAGGAGTCAAACAACTGATTTATCACAACTAGTAACTGAATGTAGTTCGACTGTTGTGAAAAATATTTCCCTTAAAAATAGTTTTTCATGTAAACAAAATTATACTTACATCCCTGTCAAGGCTGTCCAGCAAAGACTTCGTTTCTTTGTTTCCATCAAAACAGAATTGAGGTCCACTGACATCAAATGGGTGAGTTCCTTGAAAATCTATAGGGAGACAATGACAGAGAGAGGTTGTAGACATGACTTTGAAAGACTCAAGACATTCAGATGACAAAACCCTAAAACGCACCTGTCTCTCAGTAAAAAGGGCAGGCCATCTTGTCTTCATTTCTGCTACAGGTGGCTCCTCTTCTACAATCTCTTCCTTCTCAGTGCAAATGTGGCAATCATTCCACTGTCAATGGAAGCCAAGTTTGGATTTGCTTTTTTCATTTCTTGGGAAATAATCACTCGCTCATCTTCAAGTATTTTACCATCTCTTCCTTGTGGAAGGTCAGGAAGGAAGTTCGTTTCAGACCTTCTGGTTTTTTTTTTACTTTGTTTCTCGTTCCTCGTAAATCCCCTGGACCTCACTTCTCAGAGTTTATCTTCAGTTCCTGACAGCCAGCATCTCTTAGCTTCTGCCTRTAATTGCCCATCTTAAACTTTAGACTTATCTTCCATCCATACYATCCTGATGTGGAACCTGGTTCCTTGAGGCAAGGATGTTTTTCAATGAGACCAATGGCTGCACTCTCAAAATCTTCATTCGCAGGGTAAGCCTGAAAAGAAAACATTGTCACTGCCATCTTTTCCAGGATTTCAGGTTTTAAATCTTTTGAAAGAGCCAAAAGTTTTCCACAGGATTCAAAAGCATCATTTCCCTGCCTAAGCCTAAGCCCCGCATCAAATGAGAAGGTGGGAAMTGGAAAGACTGCTGGCCAGGGCTGCGAACGTCGGTAAAAGACGATGATTGGCTGCTACTTGGAGACATGGGAGAAGAAGCTGAAAATGTTAAACCTGAACTACAAGACTCCAAACATGGCTCRGAGGAATCAGGACAGATGATGATTGTCAGTGTAGCCTTGTCCTTTGAAAGATCATCAGAACAAATGATAAGCTGACAACAAAAATCAAGCAACAAACTGCCATGCAACTTATGACTTGCACAAACTCAACCAAAGTAGTTCAATTCTACCTTAGTGAAGTAGGAAGGTTTTTGGTGTCACAATCAGTTTCCCTGYGTTTRTGTATGGATACAAAGGTTGATATCCATTTAGTTCATGTGGTTCTACAATGTCAAGTACAGAAGGTTCCCTTTTCACAAGCTCATAACTCCGCAKGTGCTCCAAGTACCACACATGATATGGTGCAATGATGAACGACACTTTCCCATTTACTACTGCAATTTTTATCAACTTCCCAAATTCTGGTAAACCACTGGTGTGCCCCTTGGACAAAAACATACACTCAGAGTACTTTGTGCCTTTTAGAGAAGCATGGGTTGCTAGAGAAACAAATGTAATATTTCCATATTTCAAAAAGAGGGCCTGTTTCATGTTGTCTTCAAGAGTTTTGGGGGAAACCACAGAACAATGCTGAACTTCCAGATCAGGTTTAAAGAGACTTGGCAGGCTAAAATGGTAGGCTAAACTGACTTTTGAGTTTTGTTGCCAAAGTGCCAAATGAAATCCTAACAGTAGTTGCTCTTAACAATCTATGAGAATCTGTGCAAAACCCCACACTTAAAATAACATTAAATGAATGGGGCAGTGGGGTCTTTGCTGGACGATAACAGAGCTTGAGGCTTCACTGTATTGCCTAGCAGGTCAGAGACAGCCCCTTGTGCATTCCCGCTGCTGATAGTACAACAAGAGGAGCTTACCAACCGGTTCAGCTCCCCCAGCTTACCCATATTCAGGTCGCAAAGGCAGCAGGTCCAGGGGAGAAACCCCTCTTCCCAGCAACACTTTTCAGCTAGGGGATCTTAAGGCGTTCCCAGGCCAGAGAAGATACACAATCCCTCTGGCATGTTCTGAGTCTGCCCCAGTATTTTTCCCAGGACAAAACATCTAAATTAGGCAACCTAATCAGATGGTTGAACCACCTAAACTGACCCCTTTCCACTCATGGGGTGGGGCAGCTCTACTCCAAGCCCCTGACGAGGCCCAGATCTGTAGATCTATCTCCTGCACCACCCCAACATCCCTCATGAATCAGGTGCCCAGATACTTTATCTCCTCCACAAGGCAAAAATACTGATAATTATTTGACAGAACATTGCTTCAAAATGGTCCCATTGAGCCTAGTTGCACAAGTAGTAGGTATTTTTTAGAGTTAAAATGATTTGTGTAGATCTTCTCAAGACCCCTCACTTGGTGTTTCACGACCTACAGAAGGGTCTCCAAACACAGCTATGGGAACCACCGGCCATCTGATTAGATCATTTCAGCACAGAGCTTCAACAGCACTGTTTTTCAATCATTTCCTGAAATTCAGTCGGTTGTCGTATTGTTTTTATTATTATTATTATTATTGTTATTATTATTGTTATTGTTATTATTATTGTTGTT